AGTTACATAAGTTTGAATTGTTTGAGGTCTTTAGGCATGTCTCCCTGAGTTATTAGATCTCTCATACCTCTCTGGTAGAATAATTGTGAACATCAAATGAGATAATGCAGTAACCAGGCGACAGTAAGCACTCCTTAATGGTAGTAGTATTCTGATACAATGATAATAAGTGAAAACAATGTGAGATACGATATAACGATATTATGGGAGGCTAACTGAGCAGACCTGGGTCTTCTGCTTCCTCCTCTGTAAAGTGTGAGCATGGGGAGTTGAACGATTGGGAACTTTGGGGTAAACAGCTGGAAGGCAGTCATAACAGCTGATATGATTTTACAACAAAGCACAAATGCAAAGGTCCAGGATTTCTGTATGTGTGACCTACTTTAAAGTTTATTTATTTATTTTAAGAGGGAGAGAGAGCAAGAGTGAGAGCGAGAGAGCACAGGCACACAAGTGAAGGAGGGGCAGAGAGAGACACACACAGAATCCGAAGGAGGCTCCAGGGTCTGAGCTGTCAGCATAGAGCTCGACACTGGGCTCAAACCCACGAACCATGAGATCATGACCTGAGCTGAAGTCGGACACTTAACCCACTGAGCCACCCAGCTGCCCCTATGCGTAACCTACTTTAAACAGGATTATAAACTTCGAATTTACTCATTCAGCAAACAGCTCTTTATTAACACTGCAGTGTGCACTGACCTCTGGTTGGAAGGCATTAAAAAGCTAGGGAGGAATGTGGCACCTGGGTGGCTCAGTCTGTTGAGTGGCTCAGGTTATGGTTTCGGCTCAGGTCATGATCCCAGGGCCTGCTTGGGTTTCTCTCTCTTTCTCTCTCTGCCCCTCCCCACCCCCTTTCAAAATGGATACATAAAACTTAAAAAAGTAAAAATAAAAAAGCTAGGGAGGATGGCCCTGCCACTGAGGGAATGATAATCTAGACCCGAGGCTTATCGGTGGCCTTAGGTAAACCACTGACTGATGCTTTTTTGGTTTTGTTTTTCATTTGAAATTGTTGTCAGTGTAAACCGTGGGAGGTCTTATCTTAAAATCAAGATTTCTGGGCAAGGGCATCAGAGTCTGGCTGGAGCCTGGTGCCTGCAAGGGAATGCTCTCTCACCGGCACGAGCTGCCCTGCCTTCTGCCTGAGCACCAGATCTACACCTGTGGCAAGAAATACGGGCAGCTGGCCTGCACCCCCCCGAACTGCATATCATGCCCAGCACCAAGAACCCACCCCAGCTGTTCTGCAAACTCACCCTGCAGCACATCAACAAGTCCCTGGAGCACCCGTTCAGGCCTACCCAGTGCCAGAGGTACCAGAGAGCTGTGCGAAGAGTGCCAGGAGCAGCGCATGGAATGTGTGCCCGTCTGCCTGCCTCTTGCACAAAAGGAAAAGGAGAGAGACCAGATGCATAGCTCCGAGCCACCCCGTCCGAGAGAAGCCTTCTGGGAACCCATGTCCAGTGATCACGGAGCAGCTGTGAGCGACAGCAAGGACAGCATGACACACCTGCACCTGCCTGAGTTGTTCACCAGAAAGGACCTGGGAGGGACTGAGCATGGGGACAGCACCGACGACTTTTTGCCAGAGGAGGAGGGTGAGAAGCCAAGGAATCCAGGGGAGAAGAGCCCTGGGGCCAGAGAAGAGATGGAAGTAGATAGGCACAGGGTTCTCAAGCACTGGGAGAAGAGCTCAATGGAAGCTCAATGGGCTCACGGAAGTTCAAAAGTCATCACCATAAACTTGGGGCACCTGGGGTGGCTTGGTTGGTTGAGCCTCCCCAACATTGGCTCAGGTCAAGATCTCACAGTTCATGAGTTTGAGCCCCACATCAGGCTCTGTGCTGTCAGCGTGGAGCCTGCTTCGGATCTTCTGTCCCCCTCTCTCTCTGCCCCCCCCCCCACTTGTTCTCTCTCTCTCTCTGTCTCTCTGTCTCTCTCAAAAATAATTAAACATTAAAAAAATATTTAAAAAGCCATCACCATAAACCTAAGAGCTTCAGCACTTTTAAACAGGTTAATGAAAGGTTGTTGGAGAAAGCAAAAAATAAAAAATAAATCAAGATTTCCAGGTGTTCTTGAGAATCTGGATTATTTCCTTGAAAAACATTTGGCAGGGCACCAATTGACTGCCCTTTGAGATGAAGTGTTACGGGCTGAAATGTGTTCCCCCAAATTCATATGTTGAAGTCCTAGCCCCCAGAACCTCAGAATGGGGCTATATATTTGGGGATTGGGCCTTTAAAGAGGTAAAGGAAAATAAAGTCCTACGGATGGGCCCTAATCCACTATGACTGGCATCCTTATAAGGAGATTAGGACACAGCACACAGAGGTATGACCATGTGAGGGACAGAGAGAAGGTGGCCATCTGCGAGTCAAGGGGAGAGGCCTCAGAAGGAACCAGACTGGCCCTCACCTTGATCGTGGACTTCTAGCCTCTGGAACTCTGAGAATAACTTTCTGTTAAGTCACCTGTCTGTGGTATTGTGATGGCCGCCCTAGCAGACCACTACATAGGACCTACATTCTGTGCCCACAGTCCTTGCCACTCCCAAATGACATGCATTCTGCTTACTTCGGTGTCACACGCGGCCCCTGCTGGCATCTGAGCTGGCAACCTGTGGCCTAGAAGAAAAGGGTGTTCTCCATGTATGTTATGTGTTCTGATTTCAAAGCTTTGATGTTCCTTTTTTCCTTTTACTGTCTTTACACTTCAGTAAGGCTAATACTATCATCCTCACTTGGCAGAAGAGAAAACAGGGCTCAGAAAAGTGAAGTCATTTTTTCCCAGTTAAAGCTGGGAGGGGACCCAAGCCTGCTGACTCAGGGACCAGGGCTCATGTCCCTCTACCATGCGCTGGGCACAGGACCCATGAGCATAAAGCCTTAACTAACAGGGCAGCTATGTGTGTGTATGTGTGTGTGTGCGCACGTGCACGTGTGTGTTAATAGAGGTAAGCCATTCACAGCAATGCACAAATCCAAGGAGGATTATTTCCTTGTAAAAAGACTTGGCATAGAATTCCTTTCAAAAGTAAACCTAGAATAGAATTTGAGCTGAAATCTGCTTTATGCAGGAGTTCATCTCACAGAGGCAAACCCGGCTGGCAAGCCTCTGATGGGGGGAAGGGTGAGGGAAGCCGTGAGCGTGTACATGGACTATCAGCCTATGCTGAACATTTGGGAGCAGACAGCACTAGAGCCTGGTACTGTAGGAAGGAAGGTTCAGTCCCCTATGTCCAATCAACGGATGAGGACGAGCAAGATAGGGAAGAAGAGGGATTTGCCGAGAAAGCAGTCACTTCCTGGGGGAACCTGCTGACTATTTGATGGAGGCAGAATAGCTTCAGAGATGACCCCAGACTTGTGGAAGAGACCTCAATTTACTCGTACAATGACACACTGTGATGCCTTTATGAGAATAAAGTAAGTCCAGACGTGCAGATGGAAAGACGGCCAACATACACAAAGTGAAAAAGGCAAGTTGCAGCATGGACTGTAAAGGATGATTCTCCTTGAGCTAAAGAAAAAAAAAAAAAAGGGACACACACACACACAGAATTTGTGAAAGGACACAGCTTCTTGATAAACAGGTTACCTCTCAGAATTAGGAGCAGGTGTGTGGGCTTTTACTTTTCACACCCCCCCCCCTTTGTTGTACTGTCTGAATTGTGATGAGCGTTGTTAGTTTTATGTCATTTAAAACAAAATGTAACCCTAACATTTAAGGATCAGAAGGTAGGCAAGTTTGGTGTCCCTGCTAGGAGATGGGGAGAAGTCAGACATTTGGGAAGAAGCAAACTCAGTGGCACACTTGATGCGTCAGAATGAAGGGTAGTAGTGATGTTCTGAGAGGTGTGGGGGGTCTGAGGAGTTAGCAGTTGGAAGTGGACTTAATGGATACAATTACCAGATAACAGAGTAAATCAGGAAAGAACTGTGCAGACGGGGGAGGGGGCAGAAGGGGGTGGGGAGAGGAGAGGACAGACTTTGAACAATGCTAACTGAGCATCAGCCATGGGCTGACGTATGCAGGATTTGTTGCTATTGCTGCTGGTTGGGTGGGGGTAGGGACAGGTCTGGGTAGGATCAACAAGGTCTCTGGGAGATGGCGGGTCTAAGACGGGGAAATTTTGAAGGGTTCAGGTAGGAGAGTCTTGTGGCCAAAGAGTAGAGGATGCTGAAATTGTGCAAAGGCTTTGTGGTGCTGGGGGAGAGAAGCGGACTGGGAGACCACTGGGGGCCATTGCAGTCCTTCAGCTGAGAGATACAGTCCTGGAACAGGACCGTGTCAGTGGGTTGGAGAAATAAGAACACAGTAAGACAAGGTTTGGAGACAAGTAGTTTGGGGGAAGAGGGAGGGTGAAGAGAGTTGTAAAAAATTGGGTGCAAACCTCAGCTTGCCATTTAGTACCTTTTGAACTCAGTTTGCCCATCTACATACATATTTAATTAATATAAATGAGATCACGCACTCCATAAATAACAACTATGATGGTTAGCTTGGGGCATTGGACTGAGACTTACCAGGGTTCAATCCCCTTTACCACCAGTTACTAGCTGTGCAGTCTTGAGTAAGTCATTAACGTCCCTGAGCCTGGTTCCTCTTTTGCAGCTGGGGATAACCTGTCGTCATGGAAGTGAAACAGCACACCAGAGGGCTGGCAGAGCCTGGCACAAAATAGGCGCTCAATCAATGGTAGAGGTATTACTATCAACAGGTAAGCCATTGAGCACAGAGCCTGGCATACAGTAAGCGCTCAGCACATGTTAATTCATGTTATAATTCATAAAGCAGAGGTCAGGAGCTGGGAATCCCGGGGCTGCCCGGCCTGCAAAGAGGGGACGTTTGCAGCTCTCCACCTCCCTGCCGCGGACACACCCATGTCCCCTCTCCAGCACCGGATCCTTCCCCTCCCACCAGCGCTTTCCGACCCCGCGGGAGGGCGTCGGAGGTGGGGGCGCGGGTAGCTCGGGTAGCTCGCCGATACTCACCCTAGCAGTCTCGGCCACGTCCAGGGGCTTCCGGAGCCACGAAGCTATCGGCGCTGCTCCGCGTCCCCGCCTCCTGCCGCAGCAGCTCGGCCAGCGCCCGCCCCAGGCATACTTTTCCCATCCCGTCATGGGCGGGAGCGTTTGGTTCCCGGTCACGTGGGCCAGCCCGCAGCTCGGAGCTCTCCTTCTGGCAGCCGCATCGGTTTGGAAAAAATTTCAGCGCTGGTGACAACTTGAGTGTGTCAATGCATGTCTGTGTGTAGAGCTTGTCAGTGTATTTGAAGGTTTACATGCACGAGAGTGATTGCTACTCAGGCGATTGCAAGGGTGTGGGTACTTGTGCCTGTGTCTCAAGAGACATCTGTATTGCTTTCATGTGAGCATTCATCTGGCTGTGGATCAGAGGATGCTTGTGGGCGTGACAGCTTATAGCAGCGTAAATTCCTCGGTGTACCGAGGAGAGTGTACCGAGTTGAGAGTGATTATGAATCGTGTGTGCATGTTTAGTTGTATGTGTGTGCATTCATAAGCGCATGTGTCCAAACGTGCATCAAAGCTCCTGTATGTGCGTTTATAAGCACATGTCCAAGATTGCAGCTCCGTGTATAACTGAAGTGTACTTCATTTGCTGGATGTACACATCAGTGGCTGGATATCTGTGTGTTGGGTACATGTTTAAATGTGTGTATGAGTGTGCACAACCACATATCAGTGTGTATGTGCATGATTTTCTGTGTGGCACCTGTTTGTGCAGTGGCTCACTTTGTATATGTACACATGCCTTGGTGTAGATTTGTCCAGATGTGAGTGTTCATGTACATAATAGTGCCCCTGTGTTCCAGCCCTCATCTCCCTCCTCTTAGAAGCAAAGGCTCACTGGCTCCACAAACTCTCTGGCCTGGAGTCAAATTGCTGAGTGTCTCAGAATAGACAGAGTGATCTGTTTAGGTTGCAAGCAGATACCGGAGGAAAGAAAAATCATAGAGGTCTGGCTTTAACTTTTTCCTGTACTTTCCACTGTTCTTTTCTACAAGCTACCACTATTTCACTCAGCTGTCAGAGCATCTGGTTAGCAGATGATACATGAACCACATTCAGAATTTTAATGCAGGTATGCATTTGACCTCTGCGGATTCCACCACCTAAGTCAAGTCAGTACTTGATGGATGGTGTTTTATTTTCTGAAAAGTAGAGAGTAATGATTATATTATTGTATTCTCTTTCCCCCCAAAGTTGGGACACTCACCCATACAGGTGTTTGATAAGCCACTGAACTATGTAGAGAATTATTACTAACATTACATAAATATTGTCTGAGGATGAAAGTTAGTGGGCTCAACAGATATTCATTCAACAAACAGTTGATAATATCGGTTATGTGTTATGAGTTAGGTGCTGGAGATGTGGAGATAAACCAAATAGGTTTGGTGCCTGTCCTCATGGAGCTTAGAGTCTAGTAGGGGTGACACAAGTGGCTACAAGTGAAATGAGTGTTACAGAGAAGGAAAACACTGAATATAAACCTGGGTGTTCAGAGGAAGGCCTGGGTTGAGCCCTGAGGGAGAACTGAGACTTGTCTGGGAGTAGGGGAAGTATGAGGTCTAAACAAAGGAAAGATGACCTATGAAATAGGGTTTAGTGTGTTGATTCATAGATGGCTGGAAAGGGGACCTCTGTCCACCACTCCCTCTGGGTACCTTGGTTTGTTTCTACATATTTCAGGAATCAGAAAAGGTAAGGAAACCCTCCTTTGAATGATGCATGGATGCCATTCTCAACCTAAAAGACTCTAGGGTAGAGTAGGAATCTCCATGTGTTACCCATGGGGCTCCACTGCCACAGAGGTTGAAATTCCTGACATGCTCTTGTTGGTGAGGAAATGGTTAGAGAGAAGCACAGGAAGAGGCAATGGTGCCACACTCAGTACCAGGGAAGCACTTAATGGATGTTTCCTGGCTGAGTGAATGGGAGCGGATGTTCTTCCAACTTATGGAGGAGACCTGAAACCTAGGAGCCTAGTGGTGATGACTTCATGTGGCAGGAAATCCAAAAAGTTCATGAAATGGTTGTTCCAGGAGCTGCAGGAGCTGCCTGAAGCTGAAATGGCGCTCAGAACTTCCTCCTCTAGCCTGTTTCTGCCTTTAATTCAGTCGGCAAACATTTGTTACCTATTATGAGTGTGGGGACAAAGAAGTGAACTTCTGGTCTATAGGGAAAATGAATCAACACAAATTGGTCTAAGAGGCATAATGCAACAAGCGCTGAAGGAAACATACAGTGTACAAAATGAGGATTTTCCTGTTTGTTTGGTTCAGTTCAATTCATTCCGTAACACTATTCATGTTTGGAGAACATGCTCAGCATATTGAGAAGATGAGTGACATTGTGACATTTATGGCCATAGAGTGCTTACAAACCAGCAGGGGCAGCCATGTGCCAGGGGTGGGAGATTGGCTTGTTCCACATCTGTCCAAACCTTTCTTGGTGTGTCTTCCTATACTACAGAGGCTGGAAAGCTAAAAACTCACTTCCCAATGTTTCTACTGCTGGGGTTCCCATTGTAATTTGTTTAGCCACTCCTGTGCACTTGTGTAAACCTGAATTCAAAATTGAGTTAAGAAAACAATTGAGTCTGGGGGAAAGGAGGCATCAGTCTGAGAGGGATCCATTGTGCTGGTGGTGAGCTAGCATATGTATTATGGCCCTGGAGTGTGGGCAGTAACTCCTGGTCCCAGATTACACCCCAAACTGTGTATTCCTGTAGCTAGAGACTGGGCCGGCGACTCCCTGAATGCCAGCTTCCAGATTGTGGTAGGAATAGTAGCTTCCTTGGGTGGTCAGTACTGTGTAGTGTTCTGGGAATCATTCTCGGAGCACCAGGCCAGAACTTGCTCTGCAAGGATTCTGAATTTACTTGATTCTCTTTATTAATGTGTGTTTTCTTAAAATAGCTACAGTTGTGTGCCTTCACAAGAGCCCTGATACGTCATGCTGTGAACCACAGGTGCTGAGAGTGTCAGAGAAGGCACATGAGTGCCCCCTCTCCCCCTTCTCTCTCTGCCCCTCCTCCACTTTTTCTCTCCTCTCAAAATAAATAAATAAACATTAAAAAAAAGAGTTATGAAGGAAAAGAAGAGGGAACCATGAACCATGGGAGAGAACAGTGGTGTAGAGTCCCATGAGAGAATTTACTTCACTGGGGGGTCTGGGAAGATCTCATGAATAGGTGACATCTAAGCTGAGTTATGAAGGATGAAAATGAGCCAGCCATGCAAAGGTGGCAAAGGAGGAGTGAGAGAGTCACAGGGCAGAAGGACCTGTATGTAACAGCTACACTAGCTGTTCCCAACACCTTTATAATACTTCCCTGTGCAATGGTCATAGGATAAATCCTCAACCCGTCAGCCTTTCTGTAGCCTCACTAACTGGAAGCCTCTGTGGTTTGACATCTTCCTAGACACTTCTATTTTTCCTGTGTCAGGATCTCTCAATCTCTGCACTACTTACATCTGAGGCTCAGTAAGTCTTCACTGGGGGGGACTATCCTGTGCATTGTAGGATGTTTAGCAGGATCTTTGTCTTCTACTCTACAGATGATAGCAGCAATCCTTCCACCTCCAGTTGTGACAGCCAAAAATATCTCCAGACATTGCCAAATATCCCAAGGTGGGTAAAATCGCCCTCCATTGAGAACTACTGCCCTATGGGTAGCTCTGCTTTGGTCAGAGTCATCTTTTTGCAGACTCCCAACTCCTCCTTCAAGTTTTATGTGTCTGTACCTCCATTTATGCAATTCCCTCTAACTAGCACCCCTCTTCTGCCTCTCCACAACCTTACCCATATGTCTACTAGAGATTCATGGCTTTTACCTGCCCATTATTCCTCTGTCCATTGGGGAATTCTATTTGGGTGATTCTCATGTGTATTGGGCAGTAGAGAAAAAGTGGTCCATCTTAGTACTCTCCCTGCCCTCTAGCTGCAGGGGCAGGGGCATGTGGACCAGGTACCCCTTCCTTTTGTGCCCAGTTAAAAGTCCAAATGGTGGGCATGAGACTCAAGCAGAGATAATCAGTCTTTCCATGTGATTTCTATAAAGGAGTACTGCTTTTCTTTTTAATTGTTAATTGTAAGGATACAGCCCTGGGCTGCACTAGCCATTTTTTCTGCCATTTGGAGGGAGCCTGCTTGAAGGAGGAGTCAATGACATCAATATACAAATAGAAGCAGATGTAAGAACTGAAAGATGGGAGGAGTGCTCTGACTACATTATTGAAAACCTTTGTGCAGATATTGTGCTACAACATTCACATTCTCACATTCTCTTTCCTTAAGCTGGTGTGAATTGTTCCTGTCACTTACCATGGGAAGACTCCTACAGCACTATCCTTCAGTGCCTACTTCAAATCTCTTCTCTTTCTTAATTTTTTTTAAATGTTATTTTTGAGAGAGACAGAACACAAGTGGGGGAGGTGCAGAGAGAGAGGGAGACACAGAATCTGAAGCAGGCTCCAGCGTCTGAGCTGTCAGCACAGAGCCCAACACGGGGCTCAAACTCACAAACCCCAAGATCATGACCTGAGCCGAAGTTGGATGCCCAACCAACTGAGCCACCCAGGCATCCCCAAATCTCTTCTCTTTCATGAAGGGCCTCTCAACACAGAACAGTCTGAAGAAAATGCTTTCTTTGAATTCCTAACTCGTGGTTAGCTGGAGACAGCAGCCAATTCTGTGCTTCCCTTTCCAATTCTGAGTTAAGTGACATATCTTAAGTTTGTAATTGTCATAATGGGAATAATTACAAGACAGAAATCAGCAAAGGCTAGAAATCAAGACTCTCTTCCTTCAACCCAGCCTGCAGCCTGATTACCAGCACACCACTGTCTAAATGTCTTCTCAACAGATTTATGAAATCTCTTGCCTTTTCAATATGGCGAACTTGGGAGAACAAGTGCCCCTGAGCTACACTGAATCTGAATCTTCAAAGGAGGGAAGGTCCTGAGGAATAATTTGGTCTTTGGTTTTCATTTCATTTCATGTCTTCATGCAGACAAAGAGGGCAGAGTCCTTCAGTGACTTGTGGTAGTGAGTTGTGGAATCAAGACAAAGAAAGTCCACAATCTTTTGACTTCCATCCATGATTAAAA